CATTGGCAAGAGTATGTCATGAACCAAATAATGCTTCTACCTGTCAGCAGAAGGATAAGTTTTGTGGGTTTTTCAGTGTTTATTATGGTACACAGTAGCCAATGAAATAAGAACAAACAGAGCATGGACTTTATTGTTGGTGGTCATTTTTATCACACTCTTACTACTAAGTTCTTTGGATTGTTTGGCTTACATAAGAACCTAGAAAATAATTCAGCTCCTTATTATGAACCAGACATCAAATCCACTTTAAAAGGGAGAAAAGAAAAAAAATCAATCCCTTGCTAGATATACCGCTATACCTTTTCTTTTAAGGAGTTAACATTTCCTGTGAAGCAAATCTGCATGTGTCTAGCAGCCAGTGTGGCAACAGGCACTTTCTATACTTCTCTAGGGGTGTGGGAGAAAAGAGTGAAGTTAAAATAGATTGGGAAGCCAGTGGGAAAATAAAAGAAGCAGCCACTGCTTGGTGCTCCTAGAAACTATCTGGAGGTGGAGAATCCTAAAACCTCTGCCCAAATGATCCAACCTGTTCCAGGATCCTATTAAAAGCAGGTCTTCTGAAACTAGTAATTAAAGTAGTATCCATCTACCTGGTTGCTTCTTAAATATATAAATGAACGACTTGACGTCAAGTCTTTTGAAACAGCTACATGCTAGATCAAACTAGAATTAGAGTTTGTCAAGTCTCTGATAAATGTTCAATTAATATTGGCTTTGGGTGTTCTCAGTACAACTTGGTTTTTCCTAGTCTTAACATACAAAGCTCTTTTCTTTTTAGTAAATGGTTACATATTCTTCACAGTCCCTTGTTTTCCACTTGTATAAATAAGCTGGGTGTATAACCTTAAACTTAAATCCATTAATCTATGAGAAAACAAGGACACAAGGGGTGGTGACCTATAATCCCAGCACTCAGGAGGATCATGAGTTCCAGAACAGCCTGAGCTACATAAGCAAGACCCTAAGGGGAGGAGGGGAGAGGAAGACCAAGGGAGAGGAAGAGGGAAAGGAAGGAAGCAGAGGGGAGGACACAAAAGGGAGGAGAAGGGAGAAGAGGGAAGGGGAAGAGAGGAAGAGAAAAGGACTTTTAATGAAAATTCAGTCATGTGTCTTCTTTTTCTATTATTTCTGTCTGACATTCAGCAGTCTTTCCACTTTCTGATACTCAGAAGCTTTCATTATTTGCCTCATCAAGAAACATCACCCAACTTTATTTTCGATCTTTCCAGTAATATTTGTTTCTACTTCATATTACTTTCTAAAAAAACTTTCTGACACATTTTTTAATGTTACCATCTCCATCGTTTGAACAATGTTTTAGATTCATTTTATTCCCTACAAAGTAGAAATCTTCAAAAACGCTTATGGACTTCTGTGATTATAAAAAAAAGTAGTACAAGTATATTGTTTAGTATTTTGAAAATACAGAAAAGAATAAAAGGTAAAATAAATAATACTTATTCAATCTCCAGTGGGGGGAAAAAGCACTGCCCCATTTTGGCCTTTTCAGCCCTTTTCCTATGTAGACCCTTAAAAATAAAATCACAGTTGAGATACAGTAGATACAGTTTTCTATTGTATTTTCCCCACTCTTAGCAATAATTGGTGACACCTTTCCACACTATTAAGATCCTTCATAAGTAGCCTTTAATGTTTGGATAACATCATCTCTTTGAATGGTATCAAAATTTAATGTTTCCCTGTTATTGGGCATTTACTGCTGATTCTTTTCTAACCCAGGTTATACTGAGCATCTTTGAACACTAACTTTATTTCTTGGCAGTTCCTTTGAATAGATTCCTAGAAGAGAAATTGCTAGGTCAATGAGTAGGAGCATTATTGAGGCTTTTCATATATTTAGGCATGGTGCTTTTCAGAAAGGTTAGAACAACTGTGCACCCTTGTAGCATCTGAGAGTGTCTGCTCCACTGCACACCTACTGATGTGGAGAATTAGATGAAGTTTATTTTTTCCCCCTGGGTGGGGTTTGAACTCAGGGCTTCGTGCTTGTGATGTGGAGAATTACAACTTTTTGAAATCTATGTTAATTTGAGAGCTGGAAAAGTCAGATCTTGCTATTGTTTCAATTTTCATTTCTTTAATTAATGTAAAGAATGCCTTTTATATATCTATTGGTCATTCAATTTTCTTTTCTATGGATAATGTGTTCATCAGCTTTCGTCACTATGATAAAATACCTGAGATAATCAACTTATAAAGATAAAGGTTTATTTTTTTAACATAATTTTTAAAAAATTATCCTATTACTGTTGTACTGGGGGTACACTGTGACGCTTACAAAGGTTCTCACAATATATCATAGTTGAATTCACTTCCTCCATCATTCTCCTGGAATAGTTTCAACATGTCTCATTTTTCCATTTTCATACAAGGTATTTTTTCAGTTTACGATTAACTAGTTCCATTATAATGGGACTGTAACAAGGCAGCACATCATGGTCAGAGTGCATGAAGGAGCAAAACCACTTACATCATGAGCCACAAAGCAAAATGAGAGAATGAAAGATCCAGAGTCCCAAAGTCCGCTTCGAAGGCATGCCCCAATGACCTAAAGATCTCCCACTAGACTCTACCTTTTACAAGTTCCATCACCTCCAAAAAGCACCACCCTGGAGGTCAAACTTTTAATGCATAAGCCTTTGGGGACATTCAAGATCCAATTTATAGAAACAGTTCATTTCCTTTGCCCATTTTTCTGCTGGAGTCTGTGTTCATTTTCTATTGTTGCCTAACAAATTTCCACAAACTGAGTAGCTTTAAACAACATCCTTTAATTACCTCATAGTTATAAAGGTCACAAGTCTGACGGGCTTCTGGGTTCTCTGTCTAGGGTCTCTCTCATGAGACTGAAATCAAGGTGTTGCCCACTTTGGGCTGGGATCTTCTATCTAAAAACCTTGATAAAGAATCCTGTTCCAAGATCTCTTAGGTTGTTGACAGACTCCAGTTCTTTGCAGCCTTAGGTCTGAGGTTCCATTTTTATGCTGGTGGTTTCTATTACCATCAATAATTTTAGGCCTCCTGAATTCCCTCAAGGCGTCCTAAATTCCTTCTCAATTCTGCCCTTCCATGTTTAAATTAGCAACAATTTGTTGATTCTTCTCATCCTTCAGATCTCTGATTTCCCAGCCAGTGAAAGTTCTCCTCTTTTGTAGGTAACTGTGATTAGATTAGACCCACCTAGATAATCTCACCATTTTAAATTCAACTGTGCCATGTAACATGACAGAATGAGTGGAGTGATGTCATATCATGAGCACAGATTCCAGAGATTAGGGCAAACAATCTTGGTGGAAGGGCCAGCCCCAGAGTTTTAGGTATCGTTTCTTATAATTGTCTGTACTCATTATAATAAATCTCAATTGCATGGCCAGGTATGGGGCTGCAAACGTGCCATCCCAGCACTTGGGAGGCTGAGGTAGGAGGATGGTGAGTTTCAGGAAGCCCGGCCTACACAATTCAAGATCAGCAGGGGCTATATAGCCAGATCCTGCCTCAAAAAAAATAAAATAAAATAAAATAACTTAACTGCCTGCATCTACTGAAAATCTGTATTTCTGATGACTGCCAACTGTGGATGGGGCTGCTTTGGTTAATAGAATTGAGTACATAATTTTGCTCTTTTTGATTTTCAATTGTGGTAAAGTACACATAAATTTACCATCTTAACCAGTCTTAAGTGTACTGTTCAGTTAAAAGCATACTCACACTATTGTGCAGTCAGTCTCCAGAACTCTTTTCATCTTAGGAAACTGAAATTCTATACCCATTAAACATGAACATCACTTCTCTCCACCCTCAGCCCGTGGTCATCACCATTCTAATTTTCAACCCTGGTATATTTTTATTTTAAGTACGTATTAACAAATGTGTATACAGTAAGTACTATAGACTAATCACTTTAAGATATTAATTCATTTAATCCTCATAAAAACCTTAATAGTGCAGTTGTCATTCCCATTCTACAGACTGGGAAACATAGCTAAATTAAGTAAACTGACCGAAGTTACACACTAGGAAGTGATGAAGCAGGACTTAAATGGAGAAGTATGGATTTATAGTTCTTGCTAGAACCATGACATTGTGAAAATATTCACTATAAAGACAAACTCATCAGACATTAATGCAACTTCTTGGTACACAATTTTTAAAAATTTCCCAATGTGCAATTAAACCTAGCATTTGTCTCCTAAATAAAAGGTTTTATGATCAAGATGATACATGTCTACTGACCTCTTCGAAGACTTTATGTATAGCCTAGTTTTTGTTAAGGCATTTTATTTTAGGCACATCAATTACAATTTACATATGATACTTTATACTAAAATACATTAGAAATATAAATCACAATTCACTATGATTACTTAAATTTAAAAATAAAGGAAACAAACAAACAGGTGTTTTTCTGTAGCTCCTTCAGAGGTGAAAAAGAAAAAGGGGAAAATCCTCCCAAATAACTTAGCTCAACTTCAGTCTAACCTGGTAAATTCAAATTTAAGAGGTGGAGCTAGGATTTCTTATCCCGATTTTTTAGCTTAGTAATCCTTTCACACAAGACCAACGCATGCTTGTCATTACTCACGTGGTGCACCTACTGTACGTTTAAAATGGCCAGAGTCCACAGAAAGAACCATCCTTGTTTCTTTGGGAGGTTTCTTTCAGCCTGGTGAGGGCTAAAAGATCTGCTGAGGTTTGCTTTCTATGACCCCTGGGGAGGGGTCACCTACGTCAACTACTTTCTAGTCGCAAATTTACCTGAGTCACAGAAATAAGCAGAAGCACACACCATGCCTTCTTCCCGTCACTCATTCATTACCCATCGCAACGTAGCGCCGTCTCCAGCACGAGATAAAAACAGTGCGTGGAGGAAACCGCGAAATCACCGCTACCCTCTGGCGCTGTCATCCCCGTCCTCCCTGCCTTCCCCAGCCCCCACCGCGGGCGGGCCAGGCCGCGCGGATGCGGCAGACGCTCACCGGCGCTGGTCGGTGTCCCTCCACCTGCGGGGCCTGCAGTCTACGCCCGCGGGCCCTGCTCCAGCACCCTGCCCTCAGCGAGGTGACAGCCCGCACCGTCCGGCCGCCGACCGTCCCCGCCCGCAGTGTTTACTAGCGGCTTCGCGGTCCCACTCTTAAATGCTTCCCCCCGGCTCCCTGGCAGCCAGACCCGGACGCCCAAGGTTCCAGGCCGCGGGAACGCGTCTCCTGCCAGCGCGCGCCCCCGGCCCGCCGGGCTGCCTTAGCTCCGGGTTTTTCTCACACGGTCTTTTATCATACACGGCGGAGGACCGTGGCCTGGGTCACAGAGTCGCCTCACTGCCCCTCCAGCACCAAAGTGCATATTTGCCATGGGAAACTGTCCCTTGGAGCACACAGAGGGGCACCGGGTCAGCTTTGGCAGTTCCTTCTGAGAGAGAAGTTCTTCCCGAAAGCCGGGCTGAGAAAGCCTGGAGATGGCTTCTCATTTCGGGTCCGGGGCTGCGAGGAAAGTCCCTTTTCACAGCCTGAGAGGCACTAGTTTTGAGGGGAGGCTTTCGTCCCCGCTGCGGATTCCCAGATAAATAGAAAGTTGTGTGTGTGCACCCGGGGCTGGAAGCGGGGCGCCCCTCACCCACCCCCTACCCCCGGCGACGCTGTCGGAAGCGGGGTGTCCTCTACTGATAACCCCGCCAGTGACCTTGGCCGCCTTGCAGGTATGTGCTGGTCTGGCTGGACAGAGCGTCCTCGCAGCTCTCTGCCTTAATTCTCCATCAGCATGTAGTTCTTAGCCGTCTTCTCAATTGTGTTTTATTGGCTTCACCTCTGCTCCAGACTTCCCTATGAATTTCCTGAGGGCAAACATTTTGGTTTCACTCACCACCTCATAATAGGCACCTAACACAGTGCCCAGTGTATGCATATCTGAATCAGTGAGTGAGTGAATGAGGGAGGCAGAAAGAAATTGTCAGAGGAGTCGGAAAGCAACATCATCGAAAGTGAAAAGTCGGATTCCAAATCCCCACTTGTAACGATTAACAATTTGTGTGTGGGGGGGTGGGGGGACTGGGGTTTGAATTCAGGGCGTCAGTGCTCTGCCGCACCTCCAGTCCAGTTTGCTCTGGTTATTTTGGAGATGGAGTCTCCCTACCTCAGCCTCTCAAGTAGCTAGGATTATAGGCGTGAACCACTTGGCCAATAAACAGATCTTTAAGCACTGAGTTTTAAGAGAAATATTTCCTTGGGTTAATGTTCATGATTTAAATAAGCTTTGGGGAAAAAAAAAAACACACACACACTGCAATTTCCGGCACATTTTTTGCTATTTTTTTAAAACCTGAACTTGTGTGTCTTTGCATGTGTGGGTGCTTTTGATGAGCTCTCTAGCATAGTACCTATTCCAATCCCCTTACTAACTTCTCCCTGCTCTTTAAGAAGCAGATGACATCCCATCTTTCCTGAAAACCTCCAGGCAGGGGGACCTTCTCCAGGGACTTACAAATTCATTTGTAAATAAACTCACCATATCTGTCCTCTGTGTGGGTGAGTAGTTCTCAAAATTCAGCCTGTCACAGAATCTTCCAGGATGATGCTTCTCAGACTTTAATATGTGGGAATCTTGTTAAAATGCAGATTTTGATCCAGCAGGTCTGGAATGGGATCTCTGCACCTCTAATGAACTGCTAGGCAATGCCTCATATTGAGTGTAAAAGATTCTGTTTACAGGATGTTTTAGATGTTTTTTACTCTGAAGGCCTACCTACAATAAGGTCATTTATATATATAAATTTTTATTAGGAAATATTCATTATATAGAGGGGATTCATAGTGACAGTTCTGATTACACTTATATTGTACATTAGTTACATTGCCCCCACCGTCTCTCCCCCTCAGCCCTTTGCGAGAGGTTATTTAGTTCTGTTTCATATACAATAAGATCTTGAAGTCTGTGATTTTAACAAATGCCTCAAAGTACTTCCTAGGTAGGGGATCCATGGACCACTTTTTTTTTTTTTTTTGAATTTTTTTTTCATTTTTCTTTTATTATTCATATGTGCATACAAGGATTGGTTCATTTCTCCCCAATGCCCCCACCCCCTCCCTTACCACCCACTCCGCCCCCTCCCTCTCCCCCCACAATACCCAGCAGAAACTATTTTGCCCTTATTTCTAATTTTGTTGAAGAGAGAGTATAAGCAATAATAGGAAGGAACAAGGGTTTTTGCTGGTTGAGATAAGGATAGCTATACAGGGCATTGACTCACATTGATTTCCTGTGCGTGGGTGTTACCTTCTAGGTTAATTCTTTTTGATCTAACCTTTTCTCTAGTACCTGTTCCCCTTTTCCTATTGGCCTCAGTTGCTTTAAGGTATCTGCTTTAGTTTCTCTGCGTTAAGGGCAACAAATGCTAGCTAGTTTTTAGGTGTCTTACCTATCCTCATCCCTCCCTTGTGTGCTCTCGCTTTTATCATGTGCTCATAGTCCAATCCCCTTGTTGTGTTTGCCCTTGATCTAATGTCCACATATGAGGGAGAACATACGATTTTTGGTTTTTTGAGCCAGGCTAACCTCACTCAGAATGATGTTCTCCAATTCCATCCATTTACCAGCGAATGATAACATTTCGTTCTTCTTCATGGCTGCATAAAATTCCATTGTGTATAGGTACCACATTTTCTTAATCCATTCGTCAGTGGTGGGACATCTTGGTTGTTTCCATAACTTGGCTATTGTGAATAGTGCCGCAATAAACATGGATATGCAGGTGTCTCTGGAGTAACAGTCTTTTGGGTATATCCCCAAGAGTGGTATTGCTGGATCAAATGGTAGATCGATGCATGGACCACTTTTTGAGAAAAGCTATCCCAGCCTGTGAAGTCTGAGGACAGGGCCCAGGTTTTTTCACAGTGCATTAAGCACAAGGTCTGGCAGGAAGAATGCATTAAAAAGCCTTATTTGCAAAATGACTGAATTACTATCACTAACACATCTTCAGCATCAGAATTAAAGGGTTCATCCCAGAACAATCATGGATAGTTTGGGGTGGAGAATAAGCACAGCTGGATAGTAGCTGGCTGGTGAAATGGTTAGTCAGTTGAGGACATTTTGCCCCTGCAAATCTAAAACAGTTGAGTTCATGTCGCCATTCAAAAGGTTGCCTGCTAATAGCAGCCCTACCTTCTTTAACAACACAGACTGTCTATTAGAGCTGTTTTAGGTTCACAGCAAAATTGAGCAGAAAGTATGGAGTCCTCATATACTTCCTGCCACCAAATATCCACAACTATATACCAAAAAGACTGTGACACAGGTTACTCCAGAGGCACCTGCACACCCATGTTTATTGCAGCACTATTCATAATAGCCAAGTTATGGAAACATCCAAGATGCCCCATTACCAATGAATGGATTAAGAAAGTGTGGTATCTATACACAATGGAATTCTATGCAGCCATGAAGAAGAAGAAAATGTTATCATTCGCTGCTAAATGGATGGAATTGGAGAACATCATTCTGAGTGAGGTTAGCCTGGCCCAAAAGACCAAAAATCGTATGTTCTCCCTCATATGTGGACATTAGATCAAGGGTAAACACAACAAGGGGATTGGACTTTGATCACATGATATAAGCGAGAGCACAGAAGGGAGATATGAGGATAGGTAAGACACCTAAAAAATAGCATTTGTTGCCCTCAACGCAGAGAAACTAAAGCAGATACCTTAAAAGCAACTGAGGCCAATAGGAGAAGGGGACCAGGAACTAGCAAAAAGGTTAGATCAAGAAGAATTAACCTAGAAGGTAACACACACACAGGAAATTAATGTGAGTCAACTCCCTGTATAGCTATCCTTATCTCAACTAGCAAAAACCCTTGTTCCTTCCTATTATTGTTTATACTCTCTCTTCAACAAAATTAGAGATAAGGGCAAAATAGTTTCTGCCGGGTATCGAGGGGGTGGGAGAGAGAGGGAGGGGGTGGGGGCAGGGGGGAGAAATGACCCAAGCATTGTATGCACATATGAATAATAAAATAAATAAATCAGGAAAAAAAAAACCCAAATGTCCACAACTTCCTGGGATACATTTATTATAATCCATGAGCCTCCAAAGACACTTCATTATCACCATCTATAACCTATGATTTCCACCAACTTTTTTGACTTTATACACTGATATTCAGGAAGATCTCTCTTTGAATAATCAGAATAATTTTAACACAGAATGGAACTCAACTTAAAGGATGATCTAGTCCAATCATTACTGACAGCCACTTTCTTACTTCAAAACTTTTAATGGCCTTACATTGCCAGGAGTTCAGATTCTATAACCTGATATTTGAGGCTCTCTGCCCTGTTGGTATTCTACATGTCAAGGATACCTCTTTGTTTTTCTGACTTAATACTTCTACTCCCTTTGGAAAACTGTCCCTACCTTTAAGTTACAGGGTAAGCATGTCATCAGTGTTAAGCCCATCCTACTACCTATGGTACCCTAGTCTGGTCACAGTGGTTGATCTAATGATAGGCATGTGACCCAGCCAAATCAGGATCATTCCCTGAAATTTTTCTGTTTGAAGCTATGGAAGGTGCCTTTCCTGATAGAAGGATATGAATTAGAAGCCTCCAATGGCCATCTTTCTTAACCACCTAGAGAATACTTTTCTGCAGAAGGAAGGAAGAAAGTTAGCTGTGGTGGAGGTAGGGAAAAACACCAAGGGATGGATGGAAATTTTTTGTGTGAAGGAAGTAGGAAGGTGGGGCGGGAAGGGACATAAGAACTAATAATCTTACTTGAGTCACACGATCTCCTCAGCAGGCCTGAAGCTAGCTTCATCTTCTAGACTTTACTGTTAGGTCACAAATTAAATCCCTGTTTGATCAAGGTAGTGGAGTTGGTTTTCTGTGTTTCCAACTGGAAGTCTCTTGAGCAACACTCTACCTTTCCCGACTTATCTCCCACATACTCCTTTCTTCCCACTATTCTCCAGATACCTCCCCCACTTTTTTAAACAATTCTTGGGTACATTTCATTTCCTATTATCCTGCTTCAGGTTTATTTAAGTACTTATTTATTTCAGCTTTATTGAGAAATAATTGACAAGCGTTTCTCCCA